ACCTTGTTTTTTGATCTTTCATTGGGACTGTCTCCTTCCTTTCGTGCTCTTGCAATGTGGACCTAAGAAGACCCAATTTAGGGTCTCTAACACCATGACCAACAGAAAATACTTAAGGCCATCCAGTCCAACTCTTCACCAGGGCAAGAAAATGCAGCCAGAGCCCTCCTGACACAGAACCATCCAACCATAGATATAGATAGATAGATATGATTCAAACACACACAGAGATAATAGTATCATAGATTTGAAAGGGACCCCTAAAAAAGGACTATGATATGTTGCATATTCCAGAGGAGGCAAACCAGACACTCTCCACATCAACACTGGCAAAGAAGCAGCAAGAAATACTGTTTACCCACAAGCATAAAGACATTACATAGATTAGAAACCAACACTTTCTCATTGCTTTATTTTCCAGATCACCAGACTGGGCCACAGCAACGCGTGGCAGGGGACCGCTAGTAACAGTAGTAAAATTACAGTTATGAAGTAGCAATGATAATAATTTTATGGTTGGGGGTCAGCACAACATGAGAAACTGTATTAAGGGGTCGTGTCATTAGGAAGGTTGAGAAACACTGCTATAGAAGGACCCCAAGAGAAGCCTCAGATGGGGAGGGAAGGCTGGCTGGCCGTACATGATGATAAGCATCGCTTTGTTTGCAGTGTATATTTCATTAGCGGGCCTCTTGTTGACAGCAAACAAAGCCAGGCGAGACACGTTTATGAGTATTTCACAACATGGGAGATGATGAGAGTGAAGTGGGTGGGGGTCTGTCTGCCCTCTTCCCCAAAGGACAATATGAAGAAGGTGTCCTTTGAGGAAGAGGGCAGGCAAAGCAGAAGAAACCCACTTTATGTCATTCAAATGATCTAATTCCTTTCTGCAGTAGGTTTTTTTTGGATGGGAGACTCAAAGATTGGTTCACTGTGTGTGTATGTGGAGGGAACTCTATTGGGATATGAAGCCACAAGAGCAAACAGCCAGACTCTCAAGAGAGATTGGCAATATTTATTTATTTTATTTACTAGCCATCCCCTGCCACGTGTTGCTGTGACCCACTCTGGTGGTCATGGGGGTTCCGTGTGGGAAGTTTGGCCCAATTCTATTGTTGGTGGGGTTCAGAATGGTCTGTGCAGAGGCGGCTCATCCATTACGCGAAGTAAGCGGTCGCAGAACACTTTTTTTGCCAGGGGCACAGAGGCACCTCTG